CACAGGTATGGTATAGGAGTACAATTTTTCTTGTAATCATATCGCCACATTTACCTGAAGTCAAAACAAGGATTTCTGTAAAACTTTTCTGAATCAGAAATATTTGTTTTAGATGCTGCGTAAAAGTGTTGAGACTAGAGACTGGCTGAACACCATTGAGCCGCGGAATGTAAGAGCGGTGATGAAGCGGGTGATTGAGGACATCAGTGCAATAGACACACAGGTGGGACAGCTCTACGAGGAGGGGACGCGGAAGGAGAGAAGTAGTGATTCCAGCCGCCGCACTCACCCTCAGAGTTACACAATGTCAGCGGCGCAGAGGAAGGGGCAGTGGAACATCGCTCCCAGGTAAAACTGACCTGTGGTTAGGAGATGTTGTTAATATTGAATCATCTCTCTCTCTCTGAAAAAAATCTTAGTAGGCCCATATTCATGCAGTGGTGGCTATTCTCCTGTTTTATGTAGGGAAAATGGTTTTGCACTTGTCCAATATTTGTAAAATCATAAAAACAATAATTTTTTGGCCTTCTTGTTTATGTTATGGTATTGTAAATGCTGAGCATTCAATAGAGTTTTAAAGAAATATGCATATTGAATGTAGATATGAAGAACTGTTAATGTATAGTATGTGGTTGATTTAAAGTAATGTATCGGTATTTAGTAACAAAATTTTAAATATGAAGCCCTGCCTTAAGATTTATTGGCTTTATAATTTGAACCTGTTCAATATCAAGTTTAATGTATTTTCAGCATCACTGACAACAGTTTGATGAGCAACATTCAGAAATTGTTTTCTGAGAAGATAGAAATATTTAGTGCTGTGGATTTCTCCAAAGTCTCTGTTTTAACGGGAATCATCAAAATTAGTTTAAAGGTACAGTATACAGATAAAGGAATTACCGGTAATAAGACTTGTACATTGAAATCATGCTAAATTATTACGACATTTCAACATTTTAAATAATCTACGCTGTATATTTTTACCATGGAACAGATTTTAAAATTACATGTACAGTCAAACTTGTCTTAGCGGCCACCCGAAATCAACGGCCACTCGCGGTCAGCGGCCACTTTCAGTTCCCCCTGACGACTTTTACTATATATTTTAACTGGAATAAACGGCCACCTGTGTAACGCGGCCAGCGGCCACTCAAATCATCACCCACAGCCTTATTGACACTGTAATAAGCGGCCATTTTGTCACTTTTTGCGATTCTACCACGTTTATAAAACACATATTCGCCTGGGCAATTAAATGCTTGGTAGTCAATTTATTCTATTAAAGCAATTAAACAAATTACATTTAGATACGCTAAACTATGTTTGTGTTTATGAAAATAATATATTTCTCCTGTTAAACCTTTTTTCAAGATCGCTGATTGAAAAATTTAAAGAAGTTAATAACAATTTCAGTTTTCCCATACCTAAATAAATTCAATCTTCAAGCTAGATTGTATACTTTTCGATATTAATTAACATTGTCTTGAATGTTAACTGTGAGAGTCTGTGACCTAATATAAGGCTATCGATATTTTCACACCTTTTAGATTTTGATTACATGTAGAAGCCCTAATTGCTACTCTTGTAAAAACAAAGTGCTACGTATGGCATGATTATCTCATGAATTTCACTTCCAAGAGACGATCGATAGGGATTAGTTACGCTCTACTGCACAGGACACTTGTGTTGTAGAATGATTTTCAACTGCGTAAATACACCTCTCTGGTTATCTGGTTAATCTTATTTGTTTGTCTGTGTATGTTACATTTACATGGAAATTCTGACAGATTTATTAGAAATAAAATTTACCAGACTTCAGAAACTTCAGCAAGTAAGTTAACTGCCGATTAATTGAAAGGGAGGGGGGTACACTGCTGATCAAAACTTGAACATATAAAAGTGAAATTTTTAGATGCAATTTAATGACATGCATGTTCTTACTAAAATAAATTTCTAGGCTTTATTTTTTTACCATTAAACTGTCTTTTAATTAGTATGTTTGTGTAATTTTTTTTTAATTAAAAAAGTTCATACTAAGGCACATATATCTCTAATGTCTATAATGTAACAAAAGCACACTGGTGAATGTATGAAGATTAAATGATATGTTGGAACAGAAACATGCACAAATCTTAAAAAATTGGAATTATTTTTTTTTAATGAGCATGAATTAATATATATATTCACATAATTTTTTTGTGAAGTTGACCTGTTCAAACATCTGATTAATTAATTAAACTATAGTGCTTAATGTCGTATATTTATTGACCGACTGACTGTTACGAGGGCAAACTGGAATAAGAGGCCACCTGTCTTAAGTGGCCACTTTTCAGTCTTCCCAAAGGTGGCCTCTTAAAACAGGTTTGACTGTATCTTAGTTTTCAGAAATTGTTCATTTCATGTAAATTTTCTCCAAAGGAAAAAAAGAAATTTTGCAAAATTTATGTTTCCACCTATTTTATTATTAACATTGATTATTGACAATTTATTCAACCTGTAAAAGATTTTCCTTTTTTGTAGACATTCTTGGAATGTGTGAGGCTGAGAACATTTGGTCGCTATGGGTTACAACAGATACAAGTTGACACACATTATCTACAACTTTATCTCTGGAGATTTGTGTCAGATGAAAAGTAAGACTTTACCTATATCAATTTATAAGAGAAAAGTCAATTTAACATAAGGTATATGAATAGAAAAAGTGGGCTTCATATTTTAGCTGCTTTGGCACAGAGGACAATGTGCTAATTCATGAATACTGTTTATAAATCATTTATGAATAGAATACAAGGTGCAGATGTAAGAATTGCAAATTCATGATTATGCCAACCACTCAAATTCTAGTAATTGCGCTAAAATTTTAAGTTATGTACACATACAGTATTGGCTTAGAATAATGAAATACAAATGTACTCCATTTGCTAAGATATTGTTCATTTTCATTATAGTTTGGTCCAAGTCTTGCTGGAGGAGATAGTATGTAGTACAGTACACAGATGCCTGGACCCCTCCATGATGGAGCCCAGTGTAAGTGTTACATCACACTGACATTCGGAAGTCAATTAAATAATCCTTTGATACACGATTCTTTTAAAAATATCAATAAAACCTCCTTATCCCAAACTTGATTGGACCATGATTAAAATTTTGAGTTTTTAGGATTCAGGATATCAAGAGTAAAATCACAAGGAAAAAGAACAGTGAAAAATATCTAACATCTGAGCGATCTGTCACACTGTAAAATCCGACGTAAAATTTATTTCCCATTTTCTTAATGTTTATGGTTTTTTTTACACTTTGCAATCCTATACCCTGTCTTTTCTGACTATTTGTCTCCGAGTGCATGTCAGATAAGACAGGTTTCACTGTAGTTGCAATTACCAACTTACTTCCAATTACCATATCTTTGGTGTTTGAGATAATGAGGTTCAACTGTAGACCATTCATGACATTATTAAGATGTATATACATTGTATGTATATGCCATCATTTCTTTGTAATTACAGGTTATTGAGCTTATCTGTGAGAGAGGATGATGAATGAGGAAGATAGGACAGTACTATATTGAATGAAAAGATAAACTATTTATTTCCTACCATATATATAGGGGTATTTATTTGAAGTTATTATACATATTGTTTATGTACATGAATTATATGCTGATATTTCATGAAATAAATATGTTTAAAACAATTTTTGGTTTTGTGTTAAAAGCACAAAATGTTTAGTAATATATGTTTAAGCTGGCACAAGTGGCATGAATTGGGATAAAATTTTATGCAATCATATACAATGAAATAATTTTCTTCATAATTGCAAGTCCCTTTTAGTCATTGAATTATCCCCATGATGTTTGGATATAGATTATAGAGATCTCTAAGTGCAAGTTAGGATTTTTTTCTTCAAAAGAACGGGGAGCTTTGAGGGGCAATGGACGTCTTGTTTAAAAATTAGCTCTCATGACCAAGTTTTAAATTTTTAAGCAGGCCTACTTCTCCAAGAATGTTAAGCATTAAATGGACAAATGCCTATGGGGGATGCTGACCTCATTTATCAATCATGCTTTTAGAGATGAATTTGATCCTCTCTGAGATGACTTTATACCCCAGGACTACATCTTGTCTTTTGGTGTTTACAAGTCAAATACCAGGACTTCAAAGAAACTGTTTGAATTCTGATGGGCCTCAAATGGACTTTATTTCCCAAATCTGCTTTTATATTCTTATGAAACACTTTATATTTAAAATCATTCTTCATGAGGAGAAGAAAAAAAAAATTAGCCTTCAACTGGACATTCAGATGTATTGACAATATTTTATCATTTAGCAATTGTAACTTCCAGTGATATGTTTTCTTGAACTTAGAATAAAAGGCATCCCAGTGTCTGGCACATTTCTTATTTAGATGTTTTAATTACCAGATGATAGGAGCAAACTAACAACTAAATAGTATGACAAACAAGAAGACCTCACCTTTTTTTTTACACAGTAAAATTCTGCTATCACCTGCATTTGGTGTTTACATCTTTCATCTTAATGGATATAGAAGAGAATGCTCTGACTTTAATAAATTTTTAAGTAGAAGCAGACTACTGACAGATAAGTTGATGTTATGGGATTTCAACAACCTTGTTTAAGTCAGCATTTGTAAATTCTACAGTCATTATAGTGACTTTGTTGACAAATATACCCTAGCACTGGGTCATGTTATGTCTTGTCTTACATGTTTCATGCCAATATTATAAGGCCTTTTCATTCTATATTTTTGTTTTTGTTCCGTCTATCTGATCATGCTGATAAATTGCTTTATGTAGGACTCAAGACACGTGACCTATTTGATGAATTCCGTTTTACAACCAGGCTTTATAATAAATATTTTACAAAAAACTTAATTCTATAAACTCCAGTATATACCATAGAATAATATGATAAAGCAAGAATTGACGATTACTCAAGGGCCGAACAAATAGGGAACCGCTGCGAATTCACTCCCTTTTCAACCCAGCAGGTGGCGTTGTTGATCATTAAAAACTTCCGCAATGGCGATCTGTACACCAGGCAGTCAGTCGGAGGAGAAAGAAACAAGCAGAAAGCCAAAAGGTGGGATTTAAGAAGAACCTGATAAAAGTTTAAACATGCACATACCTATGAAATATCCATAAGTATGTTCTAACTCTCTCGAGCCATTTAAAAGCAGAATAAAGTGGTAGCTATGGCTGAATGTAAACAATGTCAAAACAGTTGATCGTTGAATGTCAAGAAAATTTAATGAACTTATTTTTTTTTAATTAAACGCAAATATTAAGATATAGCTGTGTCTTTTAGTACCTGACATTAAATGCACGGTGTCGTGTGTGTGGTGAATGGTGATGCATTTGTAATTCTGTATACACGTCACGTGTATTAACTTTTGAAAGAATGAATAAGCTCGAGCTGTGTCAGGAAAAAATCTATCACATGTTATCTGGTCTGAAAGATCATATTAATTAAACGAAACAGTCTATCTAATAGTTGTATTTCCTGGATATACATTTTAAACGGTATTCGTACCATGTGTAGTCTACTCTATGTCAGCCTTAAACCCTTTTGGAAGTATTTCGAAAGATCAGTATTCTTTTAGCGTATGTTAGACATCCCAGCCCAAACAGCCAATGACACCTCGGCCCAATGACATTAAGATCTAATGACACCTCCGCTCAGACATGTCAGCCCAAGAGTTAAGAAAGGTTGATCTATTTGTGAGACACCTTTGATCTAAACAAAATTTTTTATGCAATATTATTATATATTTCAATTTTTTTTAAAAAGTAAATGAATAAATGTTCAAATGAATGTCTTTTTTCTAATTGTAAAAAGACATTGACAATAAACAAGGAAATAAGAAAATTTGTTCAAGTGCTAATTGATGAACAAACAAGTAAGTGAGAACATTTACATCCACTGAATCATTCTCATTTATCTTTTTAAGACAACCAAATATTTTATCATTAGAAAAAATAATTACATTAATAATAATATTGATTCAGACACTAGATTAATCTTTTCTGTCATAAAATTTTGCTTGATTGGCATGTCTTCTGTACGAACCAACCTGTCAGGAATCTTGGGCTGACCTGTCAGGATCAAGATGTCAAATGTGTTGATCGAGATGTCTTTTTTAAGCAGCATTGAGTGTCAAATTCCTATTTATAATAAAACTTTTCTATTTTTTCTGTATGTAGACATTTTATTTTTATTTAATTGTTTTGTTTATAGACACAAAATTTAAACAACAGAAGTTACCAGCATGGCAGCCAATCTTGACAGCTGGTACAGTCCTGCCTGCTTTCTTTGCCATTGGGATTGCATTCATTCCCTTAGGAATAGCCCTCCTGGTTACTTCAAATGGAGTAAGTACAATTTTGTCTTAACAAAAGGGAGTTCTCTCTGGTATTACATTTTTAGGTAAATTATTTTCAAATACAAGTAGGTGTCAAGTTGATTTGTAATATGATTTACTTGTGTCCCTGTCAACTTGAATAAAAATAATGTCTAATTGTAACCAAAAGTCTGGTCACAATAAGGACTCTAGTTTAAAGTTGACCTTTTTTTTGTAAAAGGTAACTTCAACTCTTTCTGAAATAATATTCATGTACTGTAAAATTTATAATCAGATATGTATACCATTGTTGGAAACCCATGGCCGATTACACTTCGTTTCTCTTTCGATTACTCAAAGCTATTGGCCATGAGTTTCGAACGATGTATGTATATCACCTCACCTATCCTCTTCATGCCCGCTGGCATATAAGGCCCCTGTATGCATAAGATGTATGTATATATATATCCAGAAATGTTTCTATGCATAAACAGATTAAGATGTGAAATAATGTGCAGGACACCATAATCCACCATCATTCTTTAACTTCAAACTTAAGTTTGATGAACAAGTACCTGGTACATGAAACTTGTTAGACTGCACATCTATTGTCACTTATGTGAAGGAAAATAAAAGTTGAGTTGCAATACTGAGGGGAAAAAAACAACTCAAAAAGACTTTATTTATTTTAACTTTTAGATAAAAATTTGCTCCATCAACACATGTGCCACTATCTGTTCTTTGTTATGACAATGAAAATAAATCATCTGTCTTAATAAATTAATACCCAGTATTTTGATATTATAGGTTATGGAAAAGGTGATGGACTACACCTTCTGTTATGACAAATCTGACAATACTACAACCTGTGCATCCAGACTGGAATCTCTGGGAACCAATGTGTCAGGATATGTGTGTTACTGTGATGTCACATTCACACTGGAGGAAGATTTCCCAGTAGGTTTTTTACTTTGTTGAAAATCAAAGTATTCTTTAATGTTTTGTTTTGTTTCTATTATTAAGTAGAAAATATTTTTTGAAAAAAATATGTATTTGGGATGTTCAATTTACAGCATTAAAATGCCAAAGTGTCAAGATAATTACCTGTATATAATAAAATTTTTCTTCAATGGTTCAACATGTTCAAGTCTTCAAAGAGTACATGTATTAGGGCACACTGTAACACTGTACTTTGCTTTGCAGAAAGATGTATACATGTACTATGGTTTGTCCAACTATTACCAAAACCACAGACGTTATGTGAGATCTCGTGATGACAACCAAATACACGGGGACGCGGTAACAGCCAGTTCTCTGAACTCGGACTGTGAACCTTATAGAACTAAGTCTATCAGCTCCAGTGAAACAAAACCCATAGCACCCTGTGGGGCTATTGCTAACAGTCTATTTAATGGTATGAAATAATATAAAATGATAAAGAGCAGTTGTTTTCTGCTTCCAAACTTTAATCCTCTTTTTTTTCCAACCTCCAGAAAAAAAATTATATTAGAGTATATAATAGTTAATTCATGGCAGATTCTCATTTTTCACTGATTTAACTCTATAAAAGCAAAATAAACTTTTCCAAGTTTTCTTGTAGTGTTTGTCTTAAAACTGTATGTAATTGTTGAAAGAGAATAAATACTTTATTATCCGGTAAATATTTAAAACGATAAGATTTGTTTATGTCTTTATTGATGGTCTGTATATTTAAGAATTTACGTTTTTATTTTCCAGACTCCATCAGCATAGAGTTCAATGGTAATGAGAATATCAGTCTTATAGCAACAGGAATTGCTTGGTTCTCAGATAAACAGGACAAATTTAACAACCCTGCAAGTAAGTGATAAAAATCTGCATAAAACTCGTATAGTACCCCAAATTTTAGTGTGTCGCTGTTATCCTTGTGTTCCTGTCCATAATTCATGGTTCACTGTCAGAACACGCGCTTATCATGGTTCAATGTCAGAAATCACATATATCATGTTCACTGTAAGAACTCGCATACTGTTTAGCTCACCTTGCTGAGACGAGCTCATGCTATACCCCTTATATCAGTGTTAGCATTGGCATCCTGTCTCAGTTTTAGGAGCATGTATTAATTGGGATGCAAACTACCAGACATGCTTCAGATGCGGGATCTGACCTATATTTGTTGGATGAGTGAGCAGGCTTAAATTTTATGAGCAATTCTTAAGTAAATGTAAGTCCAGACTTGCATGGATGATTCAACAAGGAATATACTATACATACATGTATTTGCTTCAGATACTGAACCTAACCTACATTTTTTAGGGAAGTGAAACAAGTTAAAAATCTTAAGAGCTGGTTCTTTCCCAAGTTATTCTTAGCCCTGTGATGACTGAACTTGCATTGATTGCATGTTATTACTACCAGATATGTTTCAGAAGCTTGATATGACCTACATTTACAGTGAAGCAATCTTGTATAAATGTTGAATTTTGGGACGTTAATGTTTGGTCTTAAACTTCAGTATTCATATACACACAGCAGTAGGCAAATGTAGATTATATCATTATAGAGTTTTGATTTTATAGTAAAATGTCCATAAACACTGTCAGTTTAATCATGTATTTGTATAAACATATGGTTAGGTTCATGTGAATTCAAGACTTATTGTATGTACAGTATTTATTTTGTGTTTTTAAAGTTTAAATAAATTTTATCTGTAGGCTGGGAAGGGTTTACTAATCCACCAAACTGGAATGATAAGAATGTTTACAACTTGAGCTCTGAACCAAACAACAATGGCTACATCAATGAGGATCTCATTGTGTGGATGAGGACAGCTGCTCTTCCTAACTTCCGCAAACTCTACCGAAAAATCAACCACGATGGCACATTTAAAACTGGTCTACCGAAAGGAAACTACAAACTTCAAATAGCATATGGTACAATGATCAACACTAATTTTTATTTTATATATGTTTATTTGGTTGAATTAGTCAAAATTGCTACAGGATTAATGAGAAATGAATGGATCTGCTGTGTAATTTTTATTACCGGTATATTAATGCAATTTTGCTACATTTTCTCCACCATGGTGTATATTGTATTGCTCTCCATCTTTTTGAAATATTCATCACTTAAATCTGTACAGTACACTGGTAGAAACGAAATGTTGGACCTCTCTTTTCAGCTTATCCCGTGTCCTCCTTTGATGGGAAGAAATCCATCATTTTAACCAACACCTCATGGCTTGGAGGGAAGAACCCCTTTCTTGGAATAGCCTACATTGTGACCGGATGTTTGTGTGTGCTCCTGGGTGTCATTTTCCTCATTATTCACATTAAGTATGGTAAAAAGTAAGTATAACATCCAGGAAAAAAGTAACTTCTTATGGGTCTGTATTCCTACCTTTACATGTATAATACTCAGTTTCAGTAATATGTTATTGCATCTCAGAATTTCTGTTTTATGTTTTAAAATTACCGGTACCTTCATTTCTTTCATTTTTAACAATTATATAAACAGCAACTTTTCATCATTGTAATGTATTTAATGTAGTATTTTTTGTTTCGAGTAAGTACTTGTATTGATATAAGTACATTAAAATGCACATAAACTTTCAATTGCCAACATGTCTTGTTATCATGAATTGAAACAGAGTGTAACTTTGCTCACAGTGTAGCCCTTCCTGTTGACAGTTTTGACACTGAGGCAAGTCCTTATAACTGCTAGTTATCTGTGTATAAAGGCAAGTCATTAGCTGCTAGTCTGACCCTTTTGTGGTGTTATGGCCTCCATATATAAAGCAATCCCTGAGAAGAAGTGGGAAAAAGAGCTGAAATTACATTTGTATAAAATGCATGCAAATGACACACACATTCTTATTCAGTCACACATACATGAACCATTACATATCATTGCCCTTTTAGTCAACTGGCCTTGTTCATTACTATAGATCTGTTTACTTTGCCACTCAGATGCACATGCTTTCAGCATTCCAGTTTTCACTTCGTAATTTTTTTTCCAAAGTATGAGAACTTACAGTATATGTCACACATTCAAAGAGTTTTTACTCTTGAGCTGTGCTGCTGACAATACAAATAAAATCATTTAGCTTAAAAATTTGGGTCAATGCACAAATGAGCTAAAAATATCTGTCATATCAAACAAGTGTTCATGTAATGTAAATCTCATCAACATGTTAAATTCAGTCTGAAGACTTTTGGAGAGGGTAGAGAAGGTTGGGCAAACGTTCAAACAACACTGGTATAAGTTATAATTATACCCCCCGCAAAAGAAGTTGGGGGGGGGTTATATAGGAATCACCTTGTCTGTCCGTTCGTCTGTCTAGCTGTGCAAATGTGTCCGGTCCATATCTTTCTTACAGAGGAACATTAGAATCTACTACTTCACACAAAGATTGCCCATGACCTAAGGGTGTGTCATGACCTTGACCCAAGGTCATTTGAGGAAGTTCAAGGTCACTGGAAGAAAAAATTCATAATTCGTGTCTGGTCCATATCTTTCTTATGGATAAACTTGGTAGATTCTAATTTCACACAAAGATTGGCATGAACTAAGGATGTGTCATAACCTTGACCCAAGGTCATGTGGGGAAGTTCAAGGTCACTGGAAGAAAAAATTCATAATTCGTGTCCGGTCCATATTTTTCTTATGGATAAACTTGGTAGCTTCTAATTTCACACAAAGATTGTTTATAACCTAAGGGTGTGACATGACCTTGACCCAAGGTCATTTGGGGAAGTTCAAGGTCACTGGAAGAAAAATTTCTGACTTTGTGTCCGGTCCATATCTTTCTTATGGATAAACTTGGTAGGTTGTCATTTCACACAAAGATTCCTCCTGACCTAAGGGTCTGTCATGACCTTGAACCAAGGTCATTTGGGGAAGTTCAAGGTCACTGGAGGAAAAATTTCATAATTCGTGTCTGGTCCATATCTTTCTTATGGATAAACTTGGTAGGTTCTAATTTCACACAAAGATTGCTCCTGACCTAAGGATGTGTCATGACCTTGACCCAAGGTCATTTGGGGAAGTTCAAGGTCACTGGAAGAAAAATTTCAGAATTTGTGTCCGGTCCATATCTTTCTTATGGATAAACTTGGTGGGTTCTCATTTCACACAAAGATTCCTCCTGACCTAAGGATATGTCATGACCTTGGGTCAAGGTCATTTGGGGAAGTTCAAGGTCACTGGAAGAAAAATTTTATAATTTGTGTCCAGTCCATATCTTTCTTTATTATGGAAAAACTTGAATCTACTACTTCACACAAACATTGCTTATGACCTGAGGTTGTGTCATGACTTTGAACCAAGGTCATTTATGCAAGTTCAAGGTCACTGACAAAAAGTTCATAATTCGTGTCTGGTCCATAAATTTAGCATCGTCAGAAACCCATGGATGATCTCATCTTTATTTATCACCCGTGGGCAAACTACCGGTAGCTGAAATATCGCCGTAAAATATGCCAATTTGTTGTTTTTAGTCAACCAATCAGAAAGATGTAACTCGTCAATTTTGAAAAATACGTTTATTACTTTGCTATTTATGGTAAATATTTTGACGCTCGTTGAAACGTGCGAAGTTTGATTTAAAACAATGAAAGTCAATTTGTACAGGTCACTAACATTAATATCCATCAGACATTATATCGGGGTACCTCTTTTTAGCTGCAAAATGCACTGGTGAGTGGATTTATCAGCTGTGTTAACTACGGAATGAGTTTTTCATGTTTTTGCAATGCAGAACATGCATATGTAATGTGAACTGTAATTCATTGTTTGGCATCGCGACTCTGTGAAGCAGCCAATCAAATGACCCATGCATATTTAATTACATACGACGATTTTTCGGCGAGTTTGCCCACGGGTGATAAGAAAAGACGAAATCACCCATGGGTTTCTGACGATGTATATTAAGTCTATTTTCTTTTATTAGGCTGCGCCTTCATTTCATTTATAAAAAATGTAATGAGCAATTACATTTGCACTAAAAATGATTTAAATCTTCTCTTAGATCCATAAAATATTCATGATTTAGCACTTCTGAAAAACCCAGCGGGGGGTATTTTGTCCCGTTTGGACAGTTCTAGTTATGTCTTGAACTCTTCCATTTATACATTTGCATTAGTAATTTCAGTCTCCTTTATATACAGTTTGATCCAGAGATAGTAAAAATAATATAATAGGAACGCTTTCTTGTCTTCACAACTCCTACTTCTTTTCTTTGTATGATTGACCCGATTTGGCTGTCTCATGTTATGTACACAAGGGTTTGGAATTTTGATTTTAGCCTCTCTTAGAGTGCATGGTTTGAGGACTGAGCTGAATTAAACTATCAAACATAAATGATGAGGGTTGCATGGAACTTCTTTTGAATTGGTTGACTGAAATCAGTGCATTCATCACAATATAAAAATGCTGGTTAAAATTTCTCTTTTTCTTGTATTCTCATGGAAATTTAAATAATTTTCATGATGGCCATTATTATGAGTTAAATATCCAGATGTGTGAGCTAGAATAATCTACATCTTTATGGGAGTTACTTTACCACACAGAGTATGAACTGTGGTTAGCACTGGAAGGCAGCTCCCATGTCTCTGGGTTTTCTTTTTTTTTAACTTTATTTTACATAAGGATGTGAGAATTTTTGTCAGAAAGATTGTGAGGATGCACTCATCATTTAAAAAAATACAAAAGTAAAGGAATTTTTTTTTTATTTTACATGTGTTCTATATTATTCATCATCTGTCAAAATTGTTTTACTAACATTTAACAAAATGATGTTTGGCATGATGAGGTGGAAGATTATGCAGTTCTTGGAAACAGGGATAATACCACTAAATTAAATGAATTAACTTTTCGAACAAAAATATGATTTCTGCAGATTGCACATCAAATATTTTTATGTATGTGTACCAGAGAACTTATAGCAAAATAAGATGTCCCTGTGTTTGGGTCAGGAATCTATATATGAAAACTTCCATATACTCTATGGAAGCTTGATTTTGGTGTGTTTCAGATGGAATTTTAATATCCAGGATTTGAAAAAAAAAATCCTACCATGTTGAACCAATAATGAAGTGCTATGCATAACTTTTTTGTATCATGGTGTACCTACAATTGACACATGTTCATTGAGTTCTCTTTGAAAGCTGTTATTACGCATTGTTTTCATGCACACACATTTTATTACTTTATAGAACAGAAAATTATTTTTAAGTTCTCTTAAAAATTTGTAGATTTGATGATGATGAAGCAGTTATTGGTATTAAAAACTTCTGTAAGTTTTTGTGGAAGATAGTTTATATATGCTTCCTAGTTTGGGGATTTTTAGTTTACTGGGTTTTTTTTTATTACATGTATATACATGCACTAGCTTTGTTTTACACATTTGTAAGTTTGTATTTTTGCTTAAATATTGATAATTATTAACACCTTTACATGCTTCTAATACTAATTTGTTTTCAAAGATTAAAAAGCTTTAAATAAAAGAATTGTTTTACTCACAAATTTGAAAGCTTCTGCTGTAAAACATTTCATCATGTAACATTTAAAACATGTAATAAGTATTTAATAATTACAAAATAAAAAAAATAATAATAATATTTTACCCCCAAAAAAGGAAAAGAAAAAAAAAAAAGAATTCTGGATCCTTTGACTCTAAACATAAAAAATATTCAAAAATTGGAAAATTTAGTAGTTAAGAGTAATAGTCCATTATAAGTTCAAATTTTAACGAGACGCAAATTTAGCGATTTGCCCTTGAAAATTGGTATTTTATTTTTAGCGATATATAATTTTAGCAATTTTAAAAAGCTCACCAAAGAATATATTAGATATAAAGCGCAATTAATTTTTAGCGATATTCAATTTAAGCGATCTTGGGAACCTCGCTAATAATGCCAAAAATAAATCCTCTCTAAAAATTCTGCTTATACGGTATTGATTAAATATGTGATTAGTATTTAGACACGATTACTAGGTGTATCAATTGCACGTGTACTAGGTATATACGTATATGTGTACCTTTTCACATACTTATAGATATTTGCACCAGGATGCATAATTAACCCCCCTCTCCCCTTTCCCTCCAGCTCTTAAAATAAAATGTTTAAAAAGTTTTTGAGTTATTGCACTTGATTGAACTTTACTTTTAAATATATACAGGTACTTTAAATGAACTTTTTATTTTTGTGTACTAATTATTTACTAATTTTTTTCACCATAAAATTAAAAGCATAACTGTTTTTACTTTATAAATTTGTTGTAAATTTCAGAGCTTCTGACATGATCAATGTGACTGCCAAAACTCCATTCTGAGAGTCAGGGAAAGTGAAAGTAAAGACTTGACCATAAACAAAGCAGGAGAAATCTTCTTTTATTATATCATGAAGGAACCCTGCTGAAATCTAAGAAGTGATATAACTGACTGAGAATAGAACAATTGAACATTTTCAGGGACTATGAATGTTAAACATTTTTATTCTTTGATCATAGAAGTGCTGATTTGAAAATGCTAAGTGTATATCAGGTTGCAAGATACTTTTCCTTATGTGTGAAGGTATAATTAAAAATAATAAGTACATGTACATGTATTTGAAATAGTGGATGTATTTATTGTGTCTATGTGTAATTTACTAAAATCATGCTATTGTGTAAATTATTATTGCATATATTGAAACCAAATGTTTAAAGCAAGAGTTCATTAACAGTCAAACTTTGTTATCTCAAACTCAATGGGACCAAGGAAAAAAATTGAATTCAAGATATTGTTGGGGGGTGGGGGGTAAAATACTTGTAAAGAATAAGTGGTTGGGACTTATAAATATATTCAGCATATTCATGGTTTTCAAGATATTGGTTGTTGAGATACCCAAGTTAAACTGTATATGTATTATGTCACAGTATGAGGCAATCTAAGAACATTTCCAACTGTATGAATTTCTGTTTTCATGTTCATTGTCTTATTACATTTATGAATGCATCATTCTGCTCTTATTTCTCATTTATGTAAAATGTCTAACTCTTTTTTTCTAGTCATATATTTGTATACATTTTTTTCTTTCTTTTATCGTCTATTATCTACCAAGTAATACTTGTAGTACACTGTTGAACTAAGAATTTTATTACTCAATTTCGTGTTTGATCATTAATGCATGTAACACTTAACAACCTTTGGTAATTGGCTCATTCATATTACCAGTAACAGTTTATTCAAATAGATATTAAAGAAAAGTGAGCTATAGGGTTTTAAAATATGATGCAGGTCCAGGAAAAAAAATTCAGTTACTATAAATAGAAGCAATGTAAAATTTGCAACACTCTCATAAAGCCTAAAGCTTTTCTTAGAAATTTTCTAGAAATATTATTTGTGTTCAGAATGTTTTTTTTATGACTGAAATCCATTGTCTGTGCATGGTGTTATTTTGAGGAAGAAATTCCTGGCTTTAAAGAAGCATTTGTATGCCATTGAATTTCTGATGTTTATTTGTAGTTGTAAGTATGAGCTAGGCTCTAGTATACCAGCAAAAAGCTTAATTTTTTTTATATGTTTTCAAATGTAAGCATTCCATGATTGTTAAGATAAATTTTGTTCTAATGATTCTACACTCTACAATAAGGTATTGTAAAAAAAATTATGCCCTTGTAATTGAAGATTCAGGGGTATAAAGTTTTTGTTGTGTCAATCTTTCTGTCTTTCTATCTGCAGAAACTTTAACCTTCCCCATAACTTTTCATTAAGAGGAGCTATGAATATCAATTCCTTGTGACAAGACCTTTCTTTGAGTTCCACCAAATTTGACCATTTGATCTTGACCTTGGAGTTTGACACACTTTACTTTTACACAAAAATTCCAAACTGTAACTTTGGTCATAACTTTTGAACAGTAGATACAAGGACTTTTATACTCTGTATATGTATTCTTTGTGATAAGCCCTTCCATTGGATACAAACAACTTTGACCTTGGGGATTAACATACTTTTAAAACAGATTAACCTTGGCCATAACTTTTGAACAGTAAATACAAGGACTTTCATACTTCATATGTATTGTTTGTGATAAGACCTTCCATTGGATACCAACAATTTTGACCCTTTGACCTTGGAGTTGACCTACTTTTAAAAAACAAACCTTGACTATAACATTTGAAGGGTAAGGACTAGGGCTTTAATACTTCACATATGTAATCCATGTGATAAGACCTTTCATTGGATACCAACAACCTTGACCCTTTGACCTTGGAGTTTGACCTACTTTTTAAAAACTTTAATCTTGGCCATAACTTTTGAAGGGTTAGGACTAAGGCTTTCATACTTCAAATATGTAACCCTTATAACAAGACCTTTCTTTAAAAACCAACAACTTGACCATGGAGTTTGACCTACCTTGTACAAAAACTTATTATTGACCATAACTTTTGAACAGGTGTTGCTAGGGGCTTTCATAATTCACAATTGTATTTTTTTTTTTAAGAAGACCTTACTTTGGGTACCAACATATTGAATTTGCATTTAAGAAAAGTTTAATCTTCATTATATTGCCATACAGGGGCATCAGTCTTTCACAAACACATCTTTTTTTTAAAATTTATTTTATTTTTTTTTTTAATACTAGAATTTGGAATAACTTACCTTGAAATGGTCCAAGACCCACAGGTCAGTTTGCTGTTCAGTGTAACATCTGGCATGTATATTTAGAGTTAATAAAAAAAAGAAAAGAAATGGAAATATAGTTGACACATTTGTACAATGATTGAGATTCAGAGTTACATGTATGGTACGTTTGGATCGTAATTATTTACATAATTTGTTACAAGTGCAATGTTAAAAACCTGTTTGTATTATAATTGTGATTCTTTTAATTGATGTTGATGTGATAGATAGAATATTGTGATTTTTAAAAATTAAATTATAATTAATTTAAGTTTCTTCCATGCCTCTTGTAACAGTGTGTATATCTTAATTGTCTTGTTTGAAGCCTTGGTGTGAAGAGGGTCCTTTGACAGTTCTGTAGATTCTAGTTAGTCGTAGTAATCTGATCCCTTTGTCAAGTTTCAGAACTCGGTAAAGGTGTATTATTTCAAAGCAGTAAGCCTACACTCAAAGATAGAGAGGGTTTATTTGTGTAAACAGTGACGTAGCATCATTTAAAAAAACAGATCAGAAAAGTTGTACTACTTCCAAACTCGCGAATCCTATTTAGTGTGTGTTGGAGGGGGGGGGGGGTCGAAACGAAATTTTCTTATTGCCTGACGTCACGGCGTCAGGCAGTATAAGGATTGATATTTACAAGATCCGAAAATGTGCGGCCATATCTAAAGAGCTAGATTTTGTGCAAGCTGATTTACAATGGAATTCTTTACCTGCATTTTAAAAGAAACAGTTTTCAGAAAAAAGAAAGATATTACTGATGCGAAATACTGCAGTGTTTACTTCCTTTAATTTTTTTTGCATGAAACAGATTATTCCATATGATTTGCCGTTTCAACATGTCCGTGTATCCTTTTTTTCTGCATTTCTATACTACTGGATCAGTCCATTTATATTCTACTAAAGGGGTGAATCGCTCTTTTCGCGCCAAATGTCACTAGTAAGCTATCTTCGCGCCTTTTCCTTGGATTGTTCTATTGTATGAATGGGTGTGCTAACTTCCATGGAATTAAATAAAGTTTGTCCTTTTAACTTCCTTCTAATGCTTCAGAAATTCTATCTACAAGTTTTACACCATTCTTTAAAACAACATATCGTATACATCAGTATACATGGTATATATATACACGTAACACTAAAGAAATGATGTTTCTAATTTGTTTACCGATCCCGCGGTTGGTTTATTCCATAAATGGACGAGTCCAATAATTATAAACAACGCAGTTCAAGCCATCGTCTCCAGATGCACGATCTATTATATGTCTTTGTTCAGATGCACACGATAAATAAGAAAGTAGTGAATAATCTTGGATATTTCTTTCTACAAAGCTAACTATTAAATTTATTTATTTCATTCTCAATATATCATGTATTATATGATAGTGTCATCCCCCTCCCCTTTTAAGAAAAAAATAATGAACACACATTACTACTGTTTACTTCAGAGGAGAAAATACACTCCAACAAAATGTGTTTTTAATTATATCCATCTTTTAAAATGTTCACAATGCGTGATTTGATAACAGGTTTTATAATAGGTGTTACAATGTAGTTTGAAATCAATTTAGATCCAAGGGCAGATCACTCCACTTGCAGATCCCCCCCCTTCAACTACAAAGTTCTTTAGTATGCAGTGTAGAGATGATTCTTCTACAAGTTCAGTAAAATCAAGATTTCAATTACATAAGGTTCTCAAAATATAAAGTTAGGATATTTTGAAACCCACAAAGTATTGCTCAAAAGGGTTATCACTCTTCATGCAGATAAATTGATGTAGTCAGGCAAGCTTTTTAAAAAGCTGTTACTTGTGAAAAACACTAAATTTCCATTATTTGACTCTACTAGAACAGAAGGTGTGGGGGCGGACTTTCAATGACCTTTTTCTGTAGTAAAATATACAAAAAAAGTCATATGTCTGGAAAAAGTGGGGGACCTTGACCATCCCCCTCCCCGATACTATGTGCTTGGTAAATGTGGATGTAGGGGGTATGGAAGATTTTGTTTGATATGTTCAGTTTTATTATAAGGTTCCTTCTACTTTTAGGCTGCTTGACAGAGAAATTTACGCATGTAGGCACATGCAACGTATTGTTTAGATACTTGCTGAATAATATTGGAATAGGATTGCGGTTTAACTGTATTTTCCCCATAAATACAGCTAATTTAGGTCTTATTCATTTATTCAGAAAGTAGGCCAATAAAGAACTAATGACAAAACAAATGTAAGCAAAAATCATCTGTAGGTTTACTGTTTTTCATTTAAAAATAATAAGGGGGATAAAGGTGTGTAGATTAACTTGATCCTATAACCCAGATATAGGTTCTGTCGTTTGCTAGATCATATCATGTACGACTGCAATCTGAAACAATTGAGCTTTGGTGTACAATGATGTATACATTTAAAATTCCCTTAAGTAACGGGCCTTTGTACTTGTTGAAGCTTATTTTGACTGCTGCAGTTGGTGGAGCATTGTCCACTGGGCGAAGTTGTGAAAGATGTCACAATTACCACTAATTACAGACTAAATATTGACAAAATACCTGAATGATTACAAAAGAATATACGTCTAAATGCCAGAGCATAGCAATACATGTCAAAATGAGTAGATAGAAATCTGGTGATTCGAAAGGGATTCGGAGATACTGTGTACAAAATATTTTTTTCACGTGTCGCACTGCTATAAATTAAAATTTTGGAAAGGTTAGAAGTTAAAACATAGATCATGACCAGTGAATCGTTTAAATCTATTGGAATATAAGATTGAACTATTAAAACGGCTTGTTTGAATTAAATATTCACAAGAGCAGGATCTGATACCTGTTGATTACAAGTTCAAGCACGTGTAAAAATACCTGGTGTCAGCTGTTAATTTAAGGTTTCAGGTTTGGATATGATGGAAGGTTGACACGAACACGGGGTCGACAAAAACTTGATGTCGAATAACCGTGATACTGCAGCGGAAAGGGGATCTCTTCGGTCCCCCAAGTCTATTGTGGCTCAATGGATATCATGTTCATCACCGTGCTCAGATTAAGTTTTGATCATCTTTTAAAGTTCAAACTACCTCAATCTGGAATATTTGGCAATGGTATGTGACCAGTTATGATATGAACAATTAATTACTCTACTAAAACACAAACGTCAACTAAGCGGTTTGGCATGGCTTATGTTATAAATATTCAAGACGAAAAAGAAATGGCTGCGCAGTATCATATAAGTAACAACTCGACAAAATCGTCTTGCTCTCAGAACGGCTACACCCAAGGACACCATTCAAAGGCCTCCGACTCCAGCCTCGGGTTATGGGAGATTTTTAATCCATATTTTCTTCATCAATGGATGCCTTATTTTTTATTTGTGGAACTAACGTTCATGTATTGTGTGGGGTGTTTCATAGCTTTTCCACATCTCTATCCAGAAACCGCCTACATACATCAGGTGATAGGGACCTTTTTGGCTTACCAGTTAATCGTCAACTGGTGGTTTATCCATGTGACAGACTCCAGCTTCAATGATTCAGGGTATCCACAGGAAAAACTGGCCCTAGGGCCTTATCCATTCAAGGTAGTCTGTTTTTTTGTTTTTTTGTCTTTATTTATTTAAACAGCAAATGTATTATCGTAAAATCAAATAAGAATATCAAAAATTAGTTGATATTATAATGTTTTAATGTTATTTGTAAATTACAAGTGTTGGAGATGGGGGGGGGGGGGGGGGGGGGGGTTCGCTTACGACAATGAGTCGTCTCGGTATGCAAAACTATACATGCCGATTAATTAATTATGACAACTGAAAGCCACACTAATTAGTACAATGTTCCTGCATCTCAAAACAGCACTCACACAATGCTGTTTTTTTTCTCTATATGTTATATTCAAATAAGTTGTTAAAACTAATAAATCAATACACGATGACTTTTATACTGTCCATCTAACACTGCATTTAAAAAGAGTAAGGATTACCCCCCCCCCCCCCCCCCCCCCCCCCCGTGAATATAGGGTTCAAAAATTGAAGTTTCAGTTTCACTGTAGTAGTTGCTGATAATTCAAGCATTAAAGCAGGGGTTATAGATTATGATTTCTTCGTAATTGGTCAAAAAAAATAATAATGTGCCTTTGTGCATCCTTGTGATTGTTTTGCAAATAAATCTTTCATTTAAGGTATTCAATGTATAACGACCATATTTGTACCTAATAAATGAATGGTCCGATATTGTTATTCATGGTTAGGTAGCATTTTGAAGATGTTATCAAATAAAAATGCTCCACCACTGGAACTTACAAAATTTTGATTATTGTTCAATTAATTTCACATTGGATTTTACATTGAAGTCTATGGGCAGCGCATGTTTTTATAAGATATTGTGAAAAGTAATTTGAATTTCAAACAAACCTTTTGGTGAAAATTTGCATAAACTCCCTCTTTATTAAATTATGAAATAAAAGGAATTATTTACCGCAGAAATTTTAAGAAATCAAAAATTTTCTTCTTTTAATCAAGGGCAGATAACTTTTCAAAAACTTTTAATGTGCAAAATGACCATCTCCTTACATGCTAATCAGTCTTGTGAATCTGGTTCATGTCATAATTGTCCTAATTATTGATAGAATAACAAAATCTATCTGAATTGTCAATACATGTATCAAGTTTGCTAATTATTCCTTAATAAAATCTTGATTTTCAGACTTTTATTCGTTACCCCTAGCTCAACAATTAATAAGTATATATCAGAAAAAAAATCACCGTACATGATACGGATGCATTATTAATTCAAATCTATTTCCCGTTGAAAGATACTGCATTAGATGTTAGGGCTAGCTCTCAGAAAGTTGTATAGAGATTTAACATAAAGTATACTTTAATGTTAGATGAAATATTAAGGAAAATTTTGATGTAATTGAGATTTAATTTTTCACCTTCATGTTTGTTGCGCTATGGGCTTATCTCTCGTCATGTTCACCCATCTCCTAATTGTCTATATATTTGTGTTTACCCATTCAACTCTTCATACACTTTTCAACAATCCTGAAACTAAGTCAGTATGTTTTAAATCTGGACCCCCTCTCTTTACGTCCATGATCATTTAAAGAGTACTAGTATTCTCCCCCTACCCCACTCCCCTTAAAAAAATTGCTCTTTGCATTTGAGCAAAATCCTAAATCCGCTCCTGGCATGCATCTATCAATTATTGACAAAAGCTTCATTTTTTTTTTAATTGCAGGTACCAGAGATAGTGCAGCAAAATAAACTAGTTCCAATCATAGACGCCCACATTAAAGCAGCGCGCTATCCCTACTGGCAGTGGGCGCCGTGTCTTGCCTGTGAACGATGGCGCCCACCTCGCTGTCACCACTGTAAACTCTGTGGAAAATGTATCCTAAAGCGAGACCACCACTGCTTCTTCGCACGAAACTGTGTGGGGCTTAAAAACTTACGATATTTCATTGTGTTCCTATTTTACGCGTGCATTACTAGTGTCTTTACCATTTACCACGGTGCAAAATATCTCTTTACGTTTTATTGGCCCGAAATGTCGTATCTTGATCTCGTACCACTTCTTTCTTTTCTGAGATCTATCTTAGGATCCAACACGACACTGTCACAGGTCGGGATCATGATTATTATGGCGTACGGTTTGCTTGGGTTAACATTTTTATGTTTTATGCATTTTATAGATGCAGGCGTATCGGTTGTGAAGGGCAATACGGCGTTTGAGATCGAAAATAACATCGATGTCAAAGATCCACGGAAATTAACAGGAAAACTCCGGTCTGTGTTTGGACAACACTGGCAGTTTGCTTTTGTATTGCCCACCCCTTACTTTCTTAGTCCGTCCATAGAAGACCCATATCACTGGGGTTCCCTGATCCCACCCAAAAAGAGAAACCCCGTCATTCAGTTGATAGAACCTTGATGTGATCCGCATCTATTTGTCCACCTGATTTGCTCAGAAGTTACAAACTTGCCAAATATAGCTATTAGAAGTTTGCAAAATCGTGTGTTGCAGTTTGCCTTAGGAATACACGCATTTTTATTGCAAAAACTTGTTTGAATATTTTTTTTTTGGTTGTAAAAGTTTTATTTGTTACTGTTTTACAATAAAACTAAAGAAATACAAATGTTTGTTTTGTGAATTTTATACAATAATATAAAATAGTATTTTCTGCGCTGAAATGCCATCCTTGATTTTGCTCATTCTTAATTCTGGAAGAAAAAAGTGAATATTTTTAAACAAAGTTAAAAAAAAAAGCAAATAGAACTTGTAAAATATAGATATCAAATAGTCAATAATATGCCTGATATGTTTTTGAAAGCAAAATGGAAAATGAGGTCATTTCCCTGTACCAACAGAGAAGTTGCAGCTTAGCCATGGCTGTTGTGAGCAGAAGGGGGCGTGTCCGAATTCCACCCCAAATAATTTATCGGCAAACATCTTTTTTAATGGATTTGTCATGTTGTTAATTTCGTATTTACTGCCAACCGGTCAATTCAAAATTTTCAACATGAGAGATCTCTCCCTCAATGTTAAGTCTGATATTTTTATTTTGGTTGTCAGGGAATATTTTACTTGGTAGTGCCCCTCCCCAAAGTTAAAATTTTTGGTTGTGCCCCTTGAGATTCCTTTTTGACTTTTACACTTAACTAATTAACTTGCAGACCGGATCACCCCCTCCCAATATGCTTTTATGAGAATGTGTCTAGCTCTGGAATGGATAACCTTTTCTGCTGTAAATTATTAAGGTTGACAAAATTTGTTTGAAAAAATAAGTATTAAACATTTAAGCAAATTCAATGTACATAGTAGTTAAACTTCTTCATTATAATTCTTTTTTAACTTTTCTGAATTAATATTTTCCTTATTTCTTGTTATTTTTTAAACCACGAAAGCTTGACCATAATTATTTGACCCAAGTGATCGATCCATGGCAATGCATATAAATGGGGACCTTTTACCCCTAAGTTTACATGCTTGATGCTTCCAACATCAGGAGCATTGTACTCTAAGTCAAATCATGGAAATTCAAGAAAGCCTACACAGACATTAATGTGCAATGCTCTATGAATTCAATCTTTATTTATATACCGGAGTAACTACAAAATATCTCGGTAAATTATCAATGAAATATAAAGTAACTTTCTTATGCCACCATCAGAAATTTCTGGTGAAAAAAATCATACCTGGTGTATCAAAATTGGTAGTAAAATATTTGTTTGTATAAATCTCTTTATGACTTAAATCCCGATCGTTTGAAATTATGTGTATTTAAGAATTAACAAAAAATTGGGCCTATAGTGATGTAAATTATGACATAGGTCAAAATATGCGATTTTCAGGCAAAAAAAAAAATTTACAATTGACTTCTTAAAAACCTTCATATTTTGTTGATTGAATGTGTGTTTTGTTGTAGAAGATATATGTACATTTTAAAACATCCAATAGGAGAAATTAAAAGGAGCGGTTTTCTATATATGATTTGGCGAAAGTGTAATCGAAAAAAAATATCCTAAATTATGTCGGACGCCAAAAATTATATATGCAGGAAAGTTTAAGATATCGATGTAGTGCTGAATAAATGTGAATAAAAATACTAGCTTCAGAACTTTAACTCTCCGAAATAATAAATGGACAGACCGAAGAATTTGGAAGAATTAATTCAGAACCAAGCGCAACTTTTTGTGTAAATATAGTAGTAAATATAGTTTTTTCAATGGGTGGCACTGTATATACATATATCATATACAAAAACCACTGTAGCTCTTCGGTCTGTCAATATATTTTTTCGGAGAGCTACAGTTCTCCAGCTGATAAAATACATACATGTGGACTTACCGTCATCTTCGTCAGCTTTCCATACAATACCGACAGCAGACACGTCGATAGTATGGCATATTACACAGTAACACCTTCTCCCCCGGGCCGATCATGAGGGGGCAGTCGGGGGTCATGTTAAAGCACCAGCCTCTTTTTGAAAAATAATCTAGCGTTCTTTGTGGACTGTCGTCAAACATACTCTTTTTGATGACTAAAAAAGAAATAAAGAGGATTTTATAATTTGAAAAAAAAGTTTTTAAGTCTTAGTTACTATGGCATTGCATTTTGAGGAAAAATAGCTTTTTTCAGAGGTACTTTGAAATTCTGCTAAACTTTAAGAGAGTTTTTTTTTTAATAACGTTACTTACACAGCGCATTTGAAATCGTAAACAGCACCAGGCAAATAGTCGTTAACACACAAAAAGACCTGTTCATTTTAGATGGTTACTGCAAACCAAAGGCCAAAACTTTAAGGACATTGCATTGGTTATTTCAATTATATACAGGCAACTTAACTACATATCGATAAACAAGGTCCCATACCGTAAAAGGCCTACCCCCTGAGGAGGGACGGCGGACTGACGCAGGCGTCAAGTGGCCAGTACGACAATTACTGGCCGGATTACGACAAGCAATCTGTTGTCAGCAATCGATTGGTCACTCGATAGATGAGGAGGATGGCTTGATATTACTTATCTCCGGGGATTAGTGCTAAATGATTACCGTAAAGTTAGTTTTCTACAAGTTCTCGTGTGCCGAAGTTTGCGAAAAGGATAGGTAGATTAGCATGAAATAAAGTCACGACATCGTCATATCAAAGGAATTAGGGGAATTACTTCAGAAAAAAAAGAAATGCAACTCCTGGTCTCATACAGTATGTAGGAAGCACCGACTCTTCGTTTTCATTTTCACTTCATCAATAAAATATATTTACACATTTATCAACAGATCGGTTTATCAATTATTACCTTGGGGCGTGTGTCTTTTGATTATCAAAATGAACAGACTACGATCGATATATGAATTATTAACAATCAATTAACTGGCAAACCCTGGTCACTTGATGTCAAGTGCTATAATATACAATTATCTGTGGTACAGTGTATTATATCAGCCGATTGTAGCGTGAAATGATATCAACAGGTCATTCCTTCATTTATTGGAACTAAAAGTGACCATGGAAGAACACGTTGTACGCAGACGAAAAGAGCGACAGGACGCAATATATTTCTGATTAATAAAATATGGAGAAAACGAAGAGAACTCCACTTCAATAATAAGATCGGGAGCAGAACAGATTCGAAATTCGAAAACATCAGAGGTGGGATCAGGTGCCATGGAGAAGTGAGCATCCCCTGTCGGTCGATCATGCCCTCTGTGTGCAGTCGCTTTCATGTGCTCACATTTAGTATTTCTTTTTGCAACTTTCTTTCAAATGACATATGATTACCTAGAAAATTTCACCCAATTCCATTTTCTCACCGTATTTGGTAATATGCATTCTAAAAAGGATCATCTCTCCCATAAGTACTAAAGGTAAAGAGGAAGTCATTTAAAGATTGAAACGACGTGTCTTTACGTACTTTACACAGATATCTGTTATTCACTACCGGGCATCCTTCCTGTCACACCGGATACATTTGTAATATCCGCGTAAACTTATTATTTTCTCTCAACTTTCACGACAAAATTGACTATCTTGGATAAAAAATATTTTAATGTGTTTAGAAAATAAGAAAGAAAAAAATGCTTAAATGTTTTGCTGCAATATTTGAGCACCACATTACGCCCACAAATAACACTGGTTTGGCAGACTTGAACTTGGAAGTAGTCAAATGGAATGCTGTACCTATAGCGATTCTTGGAGTCATCTTCCTGCTAGGATTACCAGCAAATTCTATCATGCTGCACATTTTTCGGACAGCTTTTAAGAGAACTGCGTACAGATTAGTATCAATGTGGCTTGCCTCTCTAGGATTAATTAACGTTACGGTTGTCGTTCCTTTAATGGTCTGGCTTTTGTTGTGGGAGATCGACCATCCGTCTGAAGTACAGTGTAAAGTGGGCGCTTTTTTGTCGTCGTCTCTTATTCTCTTCTGCCACCTTGTCCTTTTCGTGATAGCAATAGAGAGGTACCGCAAGGTATTTTACCCTTTTATGTGGCAAATTGAACAAAAGGAAATGAATTTCTACCACATTATCTTGTTGCTCGTCGCCACAGCAGTGGCATCGCCACATGCCATATTTGTTGGGCACCGTATTGTACCAACTGGGATAGAGGGCCTAAATGCCACCTTCTGTTTCATATCTGATAGCTATGTCGACTCCATTGTGCCTATGGTTTATTATATAGTACTGAACATTCTTGCATTCACAGTGACCATGTTTATTATAACCATGTACGGAAGAATCATCCATATCATTCGACATTACAAGAAACAAGCGCAGAGAAATGATGTTTATCCAGACTACGACCAAAACAGCCCCGTGTGCTTCTCAAGCGCTACCAGACTTCTGGAAACAAGACGAACGACCATTACGTTGTTTGCCTCGACATTAACGTTCATCTTGACGACATTTCCTTCCAATGCCACGGCCATGTTGCTCTTGTTCAAAGCAGACCTGTTTTGTTTCGCTGAAAAATCTTTGAGTATTGTCATCAGGGTTGCGGTGTGCACTCTCCTCTTTAACAGCGTTATTAACCCGTGTATCTACTTTTTCGCAGATATTCATTTTCGAAGTGAAGTTAAACAGTTATGCTCAAGGATTAGGTCAAATAATCCGCGTCAGAGATTTTAAGTTCATGAACCTAAAATTTTCAGGAATACTGAGTAAACCAATTTCAGGATTTTTCCCCCATTACAATTCCTTTAAAATAAAGTACATTGTTTATATCATATTGTTATAATAGAAAACTAGAGGTACTGTGAGCGATGAGCTCACTAAATGATACCCCCCGCCTCCCATATGGTTATAACTGGTGAAAAAGTCCATGTTTTCCTGTGGCTGGAAAACCCAAAATATGTTCGGATCAAAAAGTAAAATAGGAGGTGCACAATGGCAATATGTAATAAAGATTCTGTGAAAGTTTCATCAAATTTCATTCAGTGGTATGAGAGGATATATTGTTACAAGCGTAACAGACGGACGGAGGAAGGGTGTTGATTACTATATACCCTCCAGCTTTTCAAGCGGGGGGTATAATAAAGGCTATTGTTATAGCACAGAAAATCTATTGATTTATCTTTATTGTTCCTGGTTGCATGATAAATATATCGTAAACAATTGACAATGACAATGTGGCGAAGATAAATAATACAAGGGGCATTCACTCCCCTGTGATTCCTCTATTGTTTTAAAAGTTTGATGTTTATGGGATAGGTACTTGTATTAGTTTAGATGCAGAAACTATGGTGTTATAGTTTTGACCATAATGGTTAAGAATAAGATATAAAAACAAAACGCTACAGTCTCTGCATGAAGTTAGTATTTGTTATATTAATGTACAAATATTTTTATACCCCCCCCCCCCGCTTGAAAAGTGGAAGGGTATATAAACGGTTTGTCCGTACAGTCTGTCCTCCGTCATACAGTTAGTATTTGCAACTCCTCTCATATAAAGGAAATTTAATGAAACGTTCACAGAATCTTTATTACGTATTGCCATTGTGCACCTCCTAGTTTACTTTTTGATCTGACATATATTTTGAATTTTCCAGAGCAAAATATGCATACTGCCATTATATTCATATGGGAGGCGGGGGGTATTATTTAGTGAGCTCATTGCTCAGAGTACCTCTAGTTTATCTTTAATTTTATTAATTTATCATTATTAATACAAGAGGCAGTGGACCAAAAACCATTGGCTTGTAAAGCCTTCTAAGATTAAAAACGTTGTTAAGCACATTATTTTAGAAAACTGCCCATTTATCGACCATAGGATTTGTAAAATAATGATTTTAAACGTGACTGATCGTGGATATGATATCCTTGTAACGTCAACTTATTTGCGAATAGCATGTGGAACCGTTTTAGAAGATAGAATATGCATTTGCAGGTAGACATAAAACTATCTGCTGGTGATAACGGTACTTGTATATCACTATTATTATTACTTTAATAAAATGGAACTTAAATCATTGAGTTTGTCTTAGTTTGCCATCAATGTCGTTTCAAGTAATGTTTAACACGAAGCAAATGACGGTTTCAGACTGTGGTCTTTTGATTTCGAGTTCAGTGAGATACATATATATCAAATCATCATAATAAAATTGGTTGTACAATGCGGTGACCAACAATTTCACTAATTTTATACGTGATCCAGAGCAACCTGGTAATGTTGCTTACATTTTGTAATCATTCAATGCTTGTCCCAACTTTAGCAGAATTTGTCGCATCGTGATTAAAAATATCTCGATTCGGAGTAATTTAATAAATTGTAAACCTATAATGTACGTGAATATTTTGGTATATTTTTCATCAAGTCAGTCTACATCGGATATTGGAAAAGTTCATTTCACAATTTAGACTAAGCATAATATGTTTTCATCGATGTACGGGGTGGGTTTACGTCATCACCTTAATTAACAACACTGATAGTCAAACTATTGGCGAACTATTTAATTGAAATACAGAGAGAAATATATAATTCCTAGAGGTACTGTGAGCATTGAACTCACTAAATGATACCCCCCGTCTCCCATATGGTTATAACTGATGATAAAGTCCGTGTTTTGCTGTGGCCGGGAAACCCAATCCACAATGTGTCATATATAAAAAGTAAAAAGGAGACTTGCACAATGGCAATCTATGTAATAAAGATTCTGTCCAATTTTAATTTTTTCCGTTAAATTTCACTTTGGTAGAAAAAATGGACATTGCCATTCTTTCTATAATATTAACATGGGCTTTGTCATCATAATCATACCTAACATTTACATTTTTCTAGCCTGCTCAATAGGCATCGCTCCTTGGTACCTTATGTTACCAGGCCAACAAAATATATATACTTTTTGTAATAATATGATTATTATTAATAATAATTTGATTACATGTACTTGTTTGCTATTATCCACCTGGTCATTGCAGTATAAATGAGTTTGGTATTTTATTATTATTTTTTTTTCTTCAAAATATATTTTATTATTATTATATTATATGTAATAAAGCTGTAAAATTTCATCATGTTGAACTACCCTGTATATCAGTATTTCAAATCTGAGAACTTTTACAAGTGAGGATCATGTCAATTTTGCATTGTTATAATAATCCCGCTTTTCAAGCGAGAGGTATAAAGATGTGTTTGTGAAACACTGATTCCCACGTATGGCAACATAGCGAAGATGAAACTTTTCTCAAATGCAAATTAAATATGTTGGTATACCCAAAGTAACGTCTTCTCACATGAAATACAATTATGAAATATGAAAGTCTTAGCATCACCTGTTCAAAAGTTTTGGCCAAAGATAAGTTTTTGAAAGGTAGAAAGACTGGTCAAACTCCTGGGTCAAGATCAAAGGATCAAAGTTATTGTTTTCTAAAGAAAGCTCTTGTCACAAGGATCACATATGTTAAGCATGAATGCCGTAGCCTTAACCGTTCAAAAGTTATGGTCAAAGATAAAGTTTTTGAAAAGTACAAATTCCAATTACAAGCCTTTTTCGATATCCAATATATTTGTCACAAGCAGTGTATTAAGTAAATTAACTGTGAGCAATGAGCTTACTAAATGATACACCCCGTCTCCCATATAAATATAATGGAAGTGTCCATGATTCGTTGTAGGAAACCCCAAAAATGTG